ACTATATTATATATATATATATATATATATATATATATATATATATATATATATATATATACACATACATACACATGCAACTCGCTTATATTTAATTTTAAAACTGCATTTTTATTAGTTACTATTTGTACTTGATTATCTATCAAAATAACTGTAGAAAAAAAAATTGTAATTTTATGGCTTCATATAGCAATAAATATCCACTCTCATCTATGGAGCAATTATATCATAAATAATCATGAATATAATAATTTATTATTCAAATATTTATATTGAAGATCAAGATAAATTTATATCCATTATGCATCGATAATGTTGATACTCTTCAATTATTTCCAGTGATTTTTTTTGATGGTCACGAAATTGCTCAGGGAGTTAATTGTGGTAAAAATTACAAAAGTGAGGAAATTTACTAGATTTAGACATGTAAAATCGCAGATATTCTAGTGAATTTGTTCACATTTGTAATTTTCACTTTGTTTCAAGATATACAATCAATCCTCAAAATTGATGATTTTTAAAGCCTTGTTGTTCTCGATGCTAGAAATCGATTCGAGATCTCGGATAGAAAGAAAATTGACCAATCGCATTGGTCCGAATTATTCAAACGCAATTGGTCAATTCTCATTTCATCCGAGATCTCGGTTCAATGCATTTTGTGTGTGACGGTACATAAAGACGGTACATAAAGAGAATCAACCAATCAGAATCCTCCCGAAATTGGTGCTTCTGGTTTTAGTTTTCATAATCATAGCTGCGTTCCGATATTCACTGCCAATACTGAAAATATATAGTTCATATCACGTATATTATAGATTTTCAGTACTTGCAGTGAATATCAGAACGCAGTTTATATCCCGTCCCGTATTGTCACGCTCCATTCACGGATCCCGGTTCGAGGGAGTTTGAGGCATCGCTGGGACTGTTGCCTCGTGTACGTCGGACTTCGATGAAGATGAAGCGGATGAAAAACGAAGTGATCAGTGCAACGGTCGAATCTTATTTAAAACGACGTCATTATCAGGTGCGGTGCGTTGCTCGTCAAGCTTCATACCGCGCGCAGTTTGCCGGAACACATGAGCGTGTGCATGCCATAACCTTCTCATTGTTCCTGGTTCTTTTTTTCTTTTTATAGGCCAATGACGTTTACCAGCAACGCAAGGGTAATCAGTTGTTATTTTGTCAGAACAGTGATCAAATGACGTTAAACGCGACGGCAGAATGTGGTACTTCGCAGGAGAATTCAATCGTTTTCAGTGCTATTACTATTGACATCACAGCGGCGGATCAAGCTTATCAACGGTATTGCCCTTTAAGTTCAATGATCTTTGTCAAATCGTATAACGTTATTCAGTTCTTATACATGTATACAGAAGTTTGAGATATTTCCTTGACTATTTGAATGCCAGGTGGTGCGATCATGTTATTTTTCTCCCTTGCATCATGGTGGTACAGTTTGGTAGTATTTTGGATTTTGTTATAGCACATAGCATTAGCACTCAGACATGATAAACGAAAATAGGGAATTAAATACAAAGAATCAGGAATAAGAAATTAGTTTTAAAAGCCATTCTTTACATATAATAAAATAACAATAATTAAGGAATACTAAATGATAATTTTCTGTTTGTAATTCTTTGTATTCAATTTCCTATTTTATATTCTACTTTATTATATACGAATCTTTAGTATTATAACTTGAAGTGGATTTATCAAATTAAAATTTTTATATTTATCTAGTATTTTTATAAAAGGTTATTTTTATTTTTATATTTATCTAGTATTCTTATAAAAGGTTAATAACAAGGTTAATAATAAATTTTGCAAATAATAAAACAATATTTCTACAAATGTCTATAACACTTAAATAGTCAGTATTAGTTAATATTTACAAGATAAAAATATAAATTTTAGAGATTGATTTTGAATTGAAGACTTTATTAGAAAATTAAATAATTTTCTGTAAAAATATAATATTTTCTCTCTCTTTTTCTATCAACTTAGATTAATTTTAAAAATGTAATATGTACTATATACATAATAATATACATACAATATAATATACATAATAATATATATTTTAATTATCCCTTCAGATTAAAGAAATGGATGAATGTCATACTCAATGAAAAGATAAGAATTGAATTGCAAGGACTTTTGTACCCAATATTTTGTCATCTTTATTTAGAGATGCTACATGTTGGTAACCGACAACCTGCAGTTCAATTTCTGAAGACCCATCAGAATGATTTTGTCAGTGATACAGAGAAAGACTTTATAGAAGAATTATCCAGTGTATATTCAGTTCAAGATATTGAATTAAGACCTTTAGTAAATGCATTCAGAACTAGGAAGTATAAAGTAGATTTATCCGAGTCAGCACATATTTGTCTAAAACAGTATCTTACCAAATATGGACATATAATATTAATGCAGGTAATATATATATATATATATATATATATATATATATATATATATATATATATATATATATATAATATGAAATAGTATATAATATATAAGTAATTGCTTTTAGGTATATTCTTTTTAATCATTATAATTCTGTGAAAGATTTTTGCATTGATTAATTAAAAGAAATAATAATTTTATATCACAAAAAATAAATTATAATTTCTTAATTCTGTATAGATTATAAATATGCATATCACAATAATCAGAAAAACAGATAGTCCTCAAATGGATGGAGAAGTACCTGAAGAGAAAACTCAGAGATATGAAGCAAGCATTAATGGCCATGTGGAGCAACCATCTGGCACTGGAGTAGATCGTGAAATGAGAGAATTACAGGAAGCTATACGATTGATACAGAATAATGCTCATCAACCATTAAGATTATTTACAGTAAAAAACGCTATAGAAAAGTAAGTAAGAGAATATAATTTATTCCATGAATTTTTTGCCATTACCTATTTTTTATTCATATTCTTTTTATTGTAGCGCAAGTTGTGGTCTTATTGCACCTAAAATGGATAAGTTAGCTATAGGTTTTAGCACAGCCGAAATACGTTTATGGGGAATAGGTGAAACAGTTTTGGTCAAAAAAAGAAATAAGCAAACGTGTATTCCATCTGCCTGTGATATATCGCCATTTTATAAATTCAATGAGCAAGAGAATACAGTGTAAGTTACAATTGTATGACATCTCTTTATTTGACTTTAGCAATATTTTATAAGGCAATTGCATAATTTTACAATAACAGAACAAGCGAAGCAGGAGCGATAATATTAAGAGGACACATGGATGTAGTGCACGATTTAAGATTTATTCCAGAAGCAGATATTCTTCTTTCTGTATCAAGCGATAAGGATATGAGAGCATGGAGACTTAACGATTATTCGTGTGCAGCAATATATAGGTAAGCAATCTTATCATTTCAAAAACTCTTAATTGTGAATCAAATAAAGATAAAATAGTTTTAAAATAATTTTTTTAAACAGAATCTTAATCAGTATTTATTTTCATTGCAGTGGTCATAGTTACCCTATATGGTGTATGGATACCAGTGTGTTCAATTTATATATTGCCACAGGTTCACATGACAGAACTGCAAAATTATGGTCATTGGATAGAACGTTTCCCTTAAGAATATTTGCTGGTCATTTTTTAGATGTTAATGTATGCTTATTATTATTATTACATTATTTTATTACAACATAATAATACAATTGGATTTCCATATCTTTTATTTCAGTGTATAAAATTTCATCCAAACGCTCGATATATAGCAACTGGTTCCGCCGATAAAACCATAAGACTATGGTCAAAGGATGATGGGAATCTATTGCGAGTATATGTTGGGGCGCAATCAACTATTTATACTTTAGCTTTTAGTCCAGACGGCAAATATTTAGCTGCTGCAGGTAATTGCATAAATAGATACATCAATTATAAAATTATATTTAATAAATATTCTTTTAATTAAAAATATGTTGCTCAGGTGATGATAAATCTATATCTATATGGGATTTAGCATCTAATGATTTACTGACTGAACTGAAAGGCCATAAGGATACAGTCATGAATGTTGATTGGAGTTTGGATGGTCAATACATTGCTAGTGCAAGCCTAGATGGAATTGTACGATTGTGGCCTACTCAAGATTTTATCAAAACATTGAATGGGTATGCACATAAAATTCTTTTTTTTCTTTTGCCAATCAAATTTGTTTACTATATTAACTATTTTTTTCAGAGGTTCATCCAATGTTATGTCTCAATCAGAGGTGCCACAAATTTATTCAACATGTTGCTCAAGCATTCTCTCATTGAATTATTATAAGAAGAATAATTCGTTAATTTGTATTGGCACTAAATAATTTTTTAATTATTTATTACTGTGCTCTTTTATCTGATATTATATACTGAAAATTTTTAAGTAAAATTAAGACTGGATATTAGTATAAACTTGTTTTATAGATTGTTCTAGCTAGTAATTAGTCATAAAATATGACTTCAATTTTTACAATATTTATAAGAAAAATGCATCATACATTATTTCAATATATTCTATGTATCTAGATACTGTACTCATCTCATTGTTTTAATATTTTTATTATCTTTAATTTTTATCATAAAAATCCAACTTTTCAGTCATTAATTGTGAATATATATTTCCGGTGAATATATATTTTCTTTTTAATTATCTTTTATTTTCATCATTTATTTTTTGTTTTAATTTTCATTCCGAATGTTTATATCTCATCAAATTAAATCTGTCATATTTTTCAGTAAATCTAATCATTTTCAGTAAATTTATAGCAGTGAAAAATTTTTAATTTTCAATAAATCTAGTATATATAAATTGATAAAAATTCAATGAGAGAAAAATAATCAAGCATTATGTTTGTGCAATTTTGTAAATTTCCTATGGAAATATTTATTATCTGAATTATCTAAAAATGATACATTAACAATTTTCTGTCTTGTTATAAAGACCTTGTAAATTATGAATAATGTTAAAAAATAGTGAAATAATAGTTTTTTTATAAAAATTAATGCGTACATTGTTATTATATAATTTGCATTATAACTTAATGTTATTCTCAATTCTTCTTTTTCTTCTTCTTTTTTCTAGCTTTCTTAGTATGAACGTTAGTTAATTCTTGCTGAACTTCTGTCTTTCGTTTTGTTGGTTCTTTTATAGGATCTTCTTTAATAACAGTCGTATTTGTATTTAACGGGGGGACGCTGAAACCTGGAATCTATAATCAAACAAAATAACAAAATGTTAAAAGTATATGAATGCCTTAATTTTTCTTTGTGTACTTCTCGCTTTCTCTCTCTTTACCTCCGGTTTTACAAGTTTAAAGAATAATTTTTCATGTTGGACATTAGATCTGTCCAAACTCATTTGTACAACAATGGGATCAAATGCCCGAAATACAACATCTCCGCAAGTTTGAGATTGATCCTCTGAATTGTATACGAATGTCACAGAAGATGAAACAGGATTATTCAGATATAATATGCCTTCTAAACCGTATTTTGGTATAAGCACTTGTAAAGCATTTTTCCGTACAAAAAGAATGTATCCTTCCTCATCCTGTACCTTGTCGCGGAAAAATATCTAAAACACAAAACAATTGTTAGAATTTTTCCTACATAATATTACAAAGTATTGAATGAAAAAAATCAAAAAGAATAAAGAGGATTCATAATAAATGGGACGAACATGTGTATGAAGTGCAACTGATGCTCGGCCGGCGTATTGCGCCATTCGATTTCGATAATTCAGATTATGGCATAACAAATGATTCTTTTTCTTATCCAACAATTCTGGATAAGTCGCATCGGCACCTATACATACAGCCAATAATCGGTGCACAATTATATCTGCATATCTGTAAAATAAAATTAAAAAAACTATACATTTTTTTCAAATTAATTTAACGATGATGTCTCTTAATAACTTTTAAATAGCCTTACCTTCGTATAGGAGATGTAAAATGCGTGTAAATAGGACATGCTAAACCGTAATGCTTAAATTCATGTGGTTGTTGCATTCCGCTAATAAAATATACCGCTTGCATCATGCATCGCGTGGCTAATATTTTTAACATTGTATTGAAGTAAGGATTTGATTCTTTTTTAGTTTCTTCAAGAGATCGGGCCAACTCTTTACCAGTATTTGTATTAATAGTGAAACCCTATAAAGTCAATTGTTAGAACATTACGTTCGTTATTAAATAATATAAAGAATAATTAATGACAATAGCTCAGATTTTTTCTTTAGATTCAAAACAAAAATTTTAAAAATTATTTTAATTTTATTTTAAATATTTTTGTAACTTTTGTAAATTTGGAATTATATAAAATTATAAACGACTATATACCTGATTTTTGGCAGCTTTGATCAACGGTTCAAAATTACTTTGCGGTGGTTCGGGATGCCTTCTTAGCATAGCGCACTCTGGAAATTCTTCCAATATTCTTTCAGCAACGCTAATATTTGCAAGTAACATAAATTCCTCCACCATAGAATTAGTCTCTCTCAATTTCTTCGCCTCCACGTCAATAGGATCATGTGTTTCGCTATCTACTTGAAAACGTATCTCCGGTGATGCTAGACTTAAAGCACTGTAAATAAATTATTTAATGTTAAAAATCAAATATATTGTATGAAAAGTAATTCAGTATAATTCAAAATAATTCAGTGCAAATCCAGATAATTGTACCCATTTTCTAAACGTTTCTTTTTCAACTTTTTTGCTAATTGATTTAATCCTCTCAATGATACCGCAATAGTATCTTGTTGAGTGGCATCGTCAATTTTTAACTGAGCTTCTTCATATGTCATCGCTTGGCGCGAACAGATTATTGATTTGCAGAATCTCGTATTAATTATGTTTGCATTGGAATCAACTTCCCATATGCAGGAAAAGGCAAATCGTTCCTCTTTACCGCGTAAGGAACACAAATTCGAACTAAGCAATTCTGAAATAAGAAACATTTTATATATAATTTATGTTGCAACTAACTAAAATATTACTTGGAATAAAATGCTTTTATTTTACCTGGAACCATGTCGATTCGCTTGTCAACGAGATATACGGTGGTAGCACGTGAGGCTGCTTCTTTATCCAGTGCAGTCCCAGGCCTTATAAAGTGTGATACATCTGCAATATGCACGCCGACTTCGAAATTACCGTTTGGTAAACTTCTACAATGTAATGCATCGTCAATATCAGTACAGCCTGGTGGATCCACGGAACAGATATCTAGATATCGAAGATCTTCTCTTTGTGCAACATCCTATAATTTTTGCGTTATACATATATATTATGTATATGTCATGTAATTTATACAATTAATATACAATCGCGATAATAAAGTAAATTTTAGACCATTATGTACCAATTATGCACATACCGTTTCAGTAATAACCCATGGTAATTTTGGAAGAAAGCTGAGAACAGCATCAGAGAAACGACTGTGCGGAACGTCATGTTCCAAGAGCAACACTTCATTCTCTGTCTCTTTATCTCCTATATTGCCAAGTGCTCGTACAAAGTGGCCGAGAGGATATCTTGAGTTTCGCGGCCATGAATCCAATGCGACAATAATTCTCTGCTTACTCAATATTTCGGCTTGTCTAGTTTCGATCCTTATTTTTGGAATTTTTCTCTCCGCCGGAACAAACAGATGCCTTATATTCTATACAAATCACAGAAATGAAGGTTAAAATAAATAATAAATAATACCATTGACATAAAAGATTGTTATGTAATAACATAATAGATTCTTACTCCTTTAATTGCACTCGGTTGCAATATACCGCAATATTGTCTCCATTTTCTCCTGATAATACCAACAATTTTGCCTGTCAGTATTTTTTCTTGCGTTTTTACACTATGTTTGCGGAGTTCTTTCTCATCTTCTGGAATTTCGTCAGCGTCAGCACCTTCTTCATCTTGTAAAACAATTTCACTAGGAGATGACCATTGATCTTCTGGCAAGATTTCAATTGCAACTATATCACCATCGACTGCTCTGTTGAGATGAGATCGTCCTTGCACAAATATCTAAGCAAATAAAAATTAAATAATAAAAAATAGCTTCTTAAAGTTTTGAAAATTTTATTGTAAAAATATAGTTTTTAAAAATTGAATTAAATTTCATAGACTTTTTTTATATGATTCATTAAAATCTAAAAAAATGTATGAAAATTTAATATGCAGTTTGAATGATAAAGAAACTCAAAATAAGTATTTAAAAATTTTTTTCTTAAAATCAACATTATGCCATATTTAAACATCAATGTATCTTACAGGTTTTTCTCTTCCTTCAACATTTACATTCCCCTCGAGAAAATTTTCTCTCGATGCCAAAAATGTTCCTTGCAACAATTTTCCAGATGATATGCCATCATGTAATTCTGTAGGTGCCAGATGACATGGAAACAATTCTGGACCTTGAATATCTAAACCATAGGAACGCTTACATAATTTATCCAGCAAGAAATTTGAATTTTCCAATGATGCAATATAATCTTCCACTATAGAAGGAAAAATAGATGCATTATTCTTTACACTTATTCAAGTGAAATAACTCAATAAAATAAAATCAAATATATCTTACTCGATACAACAAATAATCCTTCTTCAACAGCATGTGTTTGATTTCCTACATCATCTGTGAGTAGAATAATCTTTATATTGTTATCATCGGAATTCAAATGAGTATTGTACCATTTAACTGCAACTCGTATTGCTCTATCATTACGATCATTTATCTTTTCACCTGGTTCTCTTTCAATATAAGTTTCTCTGGGAATAATACAATATATGATACGGCAAAATGTTAAGGCATAATGTAACATTGATCTTGTTTCTATATATATTAATTACACATATACCTATGATGTTCATTAATGAAGACAAAAAATTTTCGTCTTGCATCTGCTATGATGTTCTTTAATTTTTTGTATACAGTAGAACTTCTATGTCGAATTTCTTCCAATACTGTCTGCAGAATGATTACATTGGTAATGGCATCCTCTTCCAATACATCTATCTATAATTAAAAATTATTTAACACAAGAAACTTATAAAAAAGTAATTAATACATTTCAAAAAAGTAATTCAAAGAGATACTTACTTGATCTAAAATTATATTTGTGTCAAGTACGAGAAAATACGGGTTTGGAAGTAAAGAAGATTTCACAGCCGCGTCTTCCACATCCAACACCATATCTCGCAGTCTTCCTTTACATTTCTTACATGTTTTAAAGCCGCAATAAATATCATCTCTGAGGTAATGCTCTCTGACAGTCTAACAAATGTGAACAAAGTGTAAAGTATAAAGAAGTTTTAAATGAAATGATTGAGATATATGGATTTAATTTTGTCAAAATTTGCCAAAAAAGAGAATTTCCTTTATATTTCTATAATTGTTTATTTTATATTCGCACCTTAAATATATTCCCTCCCTTCGTCTTTCTAAAAAAGACCTTCGTCGTTAACATGTCTAAATATTCATTTAGATGCTGCGTTAATAAAGATGCAAATGTTTCTTATTTTAAAATTTATTTATCCCACTGTTGAGTTGCAGAATTATGACAGGTTATGGGACACACACGTGCTAAAAAATTCGTTGCGGCCACGAGATGTCAGGTCAACACTGAATATATCTGTTGTAGTTCGAATCGAATTGTTAGATGGCGGTTAGGTGATCAATTGACTGAGTTTCTATCCTTACGTAGGTATCTTTCCTTTATATTCTAGAAAGAAGAATATACAAGAACTGAATTGAGAACAAATTTATTACAACTGAATCGATGATTAATTATTCAATTACTTATAACAGAAAAATGTTTAACTAACATAATTTGTCAATCCTAATTTAATTTTTTTCTACATTTAATATCCATTTTTGAATAACCTAACATTTATTTTTCTTAATATTTATTCTTTATGTTTTTTAAACCTTTATGACTAAAAAATGATAAATAAGGTAAGTCAAAATTAAAGCTAATTTACATTGACAAAAATAGATATTAAATAATAAAAAGTAATTAACGATTCTATTTTTTTTTAATTTAGTATGTAATCTGATGAAGAAATTAAAATTTAAAGATTTACTACTTTAATCTTTTCTATTTTATTAATGCAAAATTTTTTATACTTAAAATAACAGAAATTCTAGACTTATTAATCTTAGAAGTGGCATAAATCATCAGAAGAATTTGCAGACGTAAAATTAGTAGAATTAGACATAAAATTAATGATTCATTTTTTTTTTATTATTCGTTTTTATAAACTCCTTTAATTATTTAGCCAATTATTTTATGCTCAGGTTCAATTTATCAGGAACGCAATTTCCTGCATCTCACGGCCTCGCCCTGGATTCGAATCGAGTCGACGAACGTGCTTCTGTTCGACGGTGGTTCTCTACCGATTGACTTATTCGTGAAGGGAGCCTTATGTTATTTCTTTGGCCCAATCTATCGGTCGACGTGGGCGGGAAGGGGCGAAGGGGAGACAAGGATTTTTACGAGCGGTGGAGACTGCACGGGCAATGAAGGGCCCGCGCGTGCAGGCTAACGCGGATAAAGGGTAAAGGGCAGTATTGTGCGACGGCGGGTCGCCTTTAACGTAAACATTTACGCCTCATGGCAACGTTAAAATATGAAGCCGTCGCTCGGAGAGAACGGGAATCAGTTTAGTCCCGAGTAATTTATCTCCTCTCAAGGGGGTTCCCGAGGAGATAATGTCTTGTCTAAATTAGGCGACATTTAGGCGAGATTCGATAACTTGAATCAATTAATCGATATTTGTTCTCCGTAACAATCTGTGATTTAGCTGATCTTTCGTTAGCAACTTGAAGCTGCAAAGATTACTGTAGTTTTTTTTACACATTATTCCAGATTATAAAAATTTAACAAAGTTCTTGTATATTTGTGAAAATTGTAACAAGTTTTTACCATCATCATCAGAAATTTTTTGATGGAGACCAGTCAAATCTTACCATTTACTAATTATCCTAAATTTACATAAAAAGATTGATTGTGCCTTTAAATTTTCTTTAGATTGCAGGACAGAAGGAGAGTTAAAGAAATGATTATTGATCAAAAATAGTCGAATTCAGAATATTGGATCACAAAATCTAGTGCAAAATTTACATGGAAGGATTTACGTTTAGCCAAGGAAACATTTGCGAATATGCATTCGCATTTTGTGCTGAGGAATAACAGCTGATCATAAGCATTTTGGACGTGAGAGACGGGCAGACAGGGGGCTTCTAGAGTCACGACTCTACCAACCCCCCCACAATGTCCTGCACGGAACGTGACCGCGTGGTAATCGCTCCTGTCTCGCCTCGCCGCGACAAACAAACGACTATAAAACGGCAGTAAAACTGACTCGGGGTGAGCCTCGAGAGAACGGAACGAAGAAGAAAAGAAGAGAAAGAGAGAGAGGATCGGTTCGGGCCGAGAGGGTCAGTTTGCTTTGACATTACCTAATCAAAACAAGGACTCCTTCTCTCGTTTCACCGATTGTTCCTCCAACGTAAGCAAATCGAAGGATAAAGGCTTCTTGGTTGCCGCGATTTATCGCTTTTTGATAACCGCTCGTTCGAGAACGCCGAGATGAAAATACACTTGAGTCTCCGTGGCTATTAAAAAACAAAACTCTCATAGAATTGGAGATTGTTATGGATTCACATATAAAATAATTGTAAATTTCTTCTACAATATGAGAGCATTATGAAAAATAATAGAAGATTCATATTTGTCAAAAAAATAATTATTTGCTAATGCCGTCATCTTTTCATCTCGTAATTGACAAGACCGAAGAAGATGTAACAGCAATTTCTTTTCGTTAAAACTCAAATATTGTTGAAATAGTTTACTATTAAAATCAAATTAAAACAGCGGATATCAGGTTTGAAGGGTTAATCGTTGTTCTCGACGGACTTGTCGACAATAGTGACCACGGCAGGGGGAGGGAGAGGGTGGTACGAACAATCGAACACGACCGGTCGGTCGATGTTACTAAACATGGTCATTGTGCCGGGTTAACAATACCCCGCTATATCAGCAACATCGGCGTCCGTAAGTCCCAGCATTCGGTCAACAAATCGCGCACCCGGCCATTGCAGCTGTTGAAAAATATCCGCGGCCGCGCTTGACCACCGTTGTTCCCATTTGTTTCCCTTCCTGTCGCCAAACTCGCGTGATTCGCGATTTCTGCGGATCCCCAATAAATTCATTCCCTTCCTCCTTTACTCTCATCCCACAACAGAGAGTTGGACCGCGAGCGATTAAGGTGAGACGCCATATCCAAAACCCGCAAAAACCGACTCGACATTTTTCGAGCAAAAATGTTTTTGAATAAACATGTATAAGTAAAATAATCTCTTTTACGCATGTCAAATTTTAATATTTTTTTTTTCTTTGAGACCGTTGTATTACGTAAGCGTCAATCAGATGCCGCCGTTTGATTCGCGATCTAAGTCTGTGCTTTAATCCTGCCATACAGACATACCATCATCGTCGCAAAGACTTTGAAGATTAATTTATTATTTTTTTCATTTTTATCCATACTGTTCCATAGTTAATGAGCAGATAAAATCATAGATTATTTGACACGTGTTGCGTTCAGAAATTATTTTGAACCTAAACGTAAACATATGTTAGACACTTAAACATGACATATGTCAGATAATCTCATTTTTATCACGAGAGTGATTCTGTTTCTTGACTTTTGAAAAAAAAATCGAAATATTCAGAAGCAAATGTTAGTTTGGTTGTTCTTGATTATAGAAAAATTTATTTGTAATGACGAATATACATTTCTGAAATATATTTAGTTTTTCTTACCAATTGTAAGATGGTTCATTTATTATATATGAATAAAATTTTTTATTTCGCCGTATTTAAATAATTTTATTTCTCATAAATAAATTTTTAAATATTTTTTTCAATGTGCAATTAGAATATAAAACTTTTAACATTTAAATGTATGCATGTATGTATGTATGTATATATATATATATATATATATATATATATATATATGCAATATGTATAAATCTTCTGATATATTTGAGTCATGATATTAATTTAGATATTAATTTAGATTTTATGATGTTTAAATGTAATATTTAAAGTGTTACATAAACCAAAATTCTATTTCATATAAAAAATGCATTTAACGAAATATACGATATCTTTCTCAAATATTTCTCAAATATTTCAGAAAAGCGTATCTTAATAAATAAATTTTATCAAAATTTTTAGATTTATGTTAAGAAACAATGAATTCTCTGATTGTATTTTTTATAATATGACATTCATAAAGCAATATGAATAAGATTAACTTTTTTTTACACATAAATTGTATTTTAATCTGAAAGATATTTTTTTTGTTTGTAGACATTCATAAATAGGAATTTGCATATCTTCGTTAACTGAACTCTTTTCATTTATCTTTCTTCTTTTTCTCTATATCGCCTAATAATATATTTATTTTATTTCAAATGCAAAATTTATAAAATAATACAGCTATAAAGAGAGAATAAAGTTCTTCTAAAATTATCTCTTTAGGCTACATTCCAAACCGTCCTTTCCGAAGAAAATTTTGCTTGAAATATATAATTCACGTAACGTATACTATATATTTCGAGTAAATTTTCCTCGGAGAGGATGTTTCAGGACGTAACCTTAATTCCGAAATTTCTTGTGAATTATAATTCGAATTCGTATCACGCGCAACTTTATATTATTCAAACGCTTGGCCAATACAGAATTAACGATCGATTCATTTCTCAGTTAAATCGAGATCTACGAGCAGGAAAGTGGCAGCGGAAATATTCGCGTGCACGGAATTGTGAAAAGCTCGCCATTTAACGGCGGATTTGCGTTCCTTTCCCGCATTGCTGGTCGGTCGCGATTCGCGAATCGAATGCGAAGCTTCGCGAGGAGTCGGGAATCGAGCATGAAGTACGCGCCGAATTGATGTTTTGGAACGAGCTTTCGACCAATCGCGCTGGCTGAGGCGGCTCGCGGATGCCGCCCCAACATGGCGTCGCAGCTTCCACTCTTTCTCCCTCGCCCCTCTATATCAAGTTTACGCGACATTTTACGACAGCCGCTTCATTTATCGACACGTCAGTCCCTTCGCGATTCGGTTTTTCAGTACTCTATTTTTTCTGTAAATAAAGACCAAGGTGTAATGTTTGTAAAATTTGTAAATGTCTGAATAAACATTTTGTATATAATAAAAAAATTTTAATATACTGTTATTAAAAATTATAATTATTCATTAATGTCATGAATTTATCCACTGTATTTATAATTATTTTTTTGTCAACATTTTATTTGATTTTTTTGTCGATATTTCTCTCTCTCTCTCT